ACATACATACATACATACATACATACATACATACATACATACATACACTGTATATATCTTGTAGCACATTCCAGGCAGCCCCTTTCAAATCAGTGTTAAGTTTGTTGTAAGCAAGGAAGAGAATAGAAAGCAAAGCTCCAGAAGAGAGAAGACATTACTGAGAGGGGAAAGGGCGAAGGAATTCTGAAGTTACACCAAGCTGAAAGAGCATGAACTGGGATTCTTGGGACAAATCAAGTTGTCTGAATTTAGGCAAAAGGGCAAAAAGGAATAAGACTTGCACACCTATGTTCTCATGTGATTGATAGAGGTAGGGGGATTGCCACCAATTAACAGCCCATCTAAGAGCTGCCCCGAGGTGAGACAAACGGTAAACAATTTAATAAATTGTTAAACAAATAAATGTATTAAACAAACAAATAAATAAATAAGAAAGACCTCCCATTGTTCAGATCCTCAGACACATTAAATGTGATCTCAGATGTGGAACTAAGACTGTTATGTTGGAAGGTCACTTACAAAGATTTGTTTGTTTGTTTGTTATTTAAATTTATTTGCCACCTATGTTGCTGTAGGATGCAGGAGAAACATTTTTATGGAAAGTAGATAACAAGATTTTCAGTGAATTGCTTCTTCCAAGCACAGACATTGACATATTTACTTATTTGTTTAAAGTGACATACATAGCAGTCAATTTGGTCCATAACAACCTACTGAAAAAATACAAAACTCCTAAATAACATTCCAGGAACTCCTGAAGGTGAAGACTAGTGAAAGAAATTGTAGAAATTAATTATCTACAATGGCATCAATAGTCATCCATCCTATTGCTATGAGCAATAGGAATAACACTTAGACTTATATACCATTTCGTAGTGCTTTACAGCCCTCTCTAAGTGGTTTGCAGAGTCAGCATATTGCCCCCAACAATTTTGGGTCCTCATAGCATGTATAAGAAGAGCAGGGTAGACATAGTAGCATACAGGACGGCATATTGGCATGCAGTGGATGATTCTATGAAATTGTCAGGATGCCAAGATCAATTAAGTGCTGTAGCTGTATTGGAGTGCAGCTGGAAATCATAAGGTAACAGAAACCCCCAATGCCAATGTGTAGTTCTAGAATTTCTGATAGCCACAATCTTGGAACGAACCTTGGGGACTTGTAATTGTGTTGTATCCCAATCTGCAAGCAAGATTTGGGGAATTGTAGAGAGCAGTAGACTGGCCTTGAAAAGAATATTCAAACACAATTACAGAAACACCAAGACCAGAAGGATCCCTTCAGCCCTGGGAAATGAGATGGTCTGGCTCCTCCTTGATGAAATGGGCCATTGGAAAGAGAAGGTAAAATATAAACATTCTTGCAAGATTCTGACACGATAATGAAAAGTAATTCTCATGTTCCTATGGAATTGGTTGTCTGGTCTCATCTAACTTGTACATTTGACAAGCATGTAGGCATCTTCCCCGCAAAGTGCTGTATTTTGCTGTTTCTTACAACTGAGGACTAGTAGGCATTCTAACACCAACTAACCAGATGATCCACAGTAAAGAGTCATTAGTCTTTTGAGTAATGAAAAACCTGTGTTTGGCACTAGGTAGATCCCTTCAGAATTTCAAACTCTCAAGACTCTTTTCAACTTAAATTACTTTATTTAAGGGTGAATATATCAAAGTAGGGTTGGTAAATAGATACCGTAATAGGATTAGTATAGTAAATATATACATCTGTAGACAGAGGTTAGAATCACTGCAATAGTAAAAGCAATTTTATTTTTGTAATTTTTTTAATACTCAGTAGGAATGAAGAATGTTAAATATTGTTTTCTGGCCAAAATAACATCAAAGACATTTCCTTTCTTCGACTGAACATCTTTAAAGCCTGCTGTGTTGAGGAGCATACGATATTCAGATGCTTTCCGTGTTTTTCCTTCAGAGTGAAGCAACAATAAAATGCAGTACAAATGAGCAGTAAGAGACCCAGATACTTCTTCATCAATAATTGGTTCCACTACTAAGATTCCACCACCTGTTGCAAAAGTAATTTGTTAACTCAGGAATACGTTGCCTAGAACAGAAGTGGAGTCCTTCATTTCATTTTTATACCTATGGCTGTGCACTTTCTTCCATTACTTTCCCCCTTTTGTAAAAACATTGACATAGGTCTTGACATAGTCTGAGAAGTCTGACAATCCGATTTCTCCGGAATATCTCATAGCATCAAATTACTAGTAAGGGGTATTAAGATGACCTTCAGATCAGAGGTGGTATTCAGCAGGTTCTGACCAGTTCTGGAGAACTGGTAGCAGAAATTTTGAGTAGTTCGGAGCACCAGCCAATACCACCTCTGACTGGCCCTGCCCCCATCTGTTCTCTGCCTCCCAAGTCCCACCTGATCGGCTGGGTCTTCTTTTGTTGCCCTGCACAGGAGAACAGAGCTGGAAAGCAGGTTAGTGGGGTGGGGAGGGAATGGGATTTTGCAGTAACCTTCCCCCAAGAGTGGGGAGGGAATGGAGATTTTGCAGTATCCTTCCCCTGCCACGCCTACTAAGCCATGCCCACCAAGCCACGACCACCAAGTCATGCCCACAAAACCGGTAGTAAAAGATTTTGAATCCCACCACTGCTTCAGATACTTACCACCCTCATCACAAATGAACTGAAAACCAGAAAGATCAAAGGCAGAGACCACATTTTTCCATACTGACTCCAAGCCTCATCCATGTACCTGAAAAAGCTTTCAATGCCTTCCTTCGATCTAGAATTGAAAGTTGCACTGGCAAATGACTAACAGAGATACAATTAAATAAAATACAACATGATTAATATATGTCCATAAAAATATCACATAGAATTACACTCTTCATTATTCTCTTCAATCTCTGCAGTATTGTGTGAATATTGTGATTGTAAAGAGCAGATTTCTAAATATCAGGATTGAATTTAAATGACATTTTAAATGGCCAGATGAATTATTCCCACTTCCATTCAGCTTATGCTCTGAGTAATTCCTGGCCAGAACTGCTGAATATGTCAATTGAATATGGATATGAATAGATACATGAATATGAATGCTAAGTACCTTAGGAAGAATCTAAAAAATAGCCCAACTTTAAGGAATTATTAATTATTTCCAAGCCAAGAAATAATAATCAGACAAGTTTTGGAGCAAAAGATAATTAGAAAAAAGACTCCCCAAGATTATAAAAACAGTACTCAATGCATGTCTCCATATCTTCTCCTTGTAGCAATAGCAATAGCACATAGACTTATATACCGCTTTATAGTGCTTTACAGCCCTCTCTAAGAGGTTTACAGAGTCAGTATATTGCCCCTCCCCCAACAATCTGGGTCCTCATTGTAAACCATCCAGTATTCCACAATTTTCATAAAGTGGTGTTAAATTTGCAATGTAGTCCCCAAATTTGATGGGAGGTTTGATGGAATAGTGTGAGTATCATTAGAGCAAAACAGGGCTTGGGTTCTACTTGTGGCACGTTGACCATCCATTCTGGTCAACATGCCACAAACTTTCATGAAAATCTTTGCAGAGTTGCAAAGTAAGTTTTGATAAGAAAAATAAAAGTAAATCAGCTATTTACTGATCAAACTTTACAAAGGAAAGTCATAAAACTGCTATTTTTATCTGTATACTGGTCCATAAAATTCCTTTGAAGAAATGCCATATATTGATAGAATCTGAGGTTTCCAATCCCCGTAGCAGATTTTTGTTTCTTTCTTTTTTAATTGAAAGCAACAAAAACACCATTAGTGATTATATTCTTCTTCCTTTCCATCATTAAATAGTGCTTGTATTTAAATAGTATTGAATATATTGTTTTTTATTATTTGCAAAAGTTATTCAAAAAACATCACAGGCTGTAAACAGTACTAGTAACCTGTGAAGTGCGTAAATTAAATTTAAATCTTTATGTCCATCTTGTTTCACTACTTTTTTCATTAGTAAATAGTATGAAGATAAAATAAATTCCTTTAACCAATTCTTTTGCGGGCTTTTCTTTTTTACTTTGAATATTAGGCTCTCTGAATTCTGAGATTTCATCAAATGAGTTTTGCTTCAGTCATCAAAATATCTTTCTAAAGTCAAATGCTAAGACAATTTAAAGATTTTAACTGGATTAACCCACCTCTTTACAGATTAGCTTTGTATGTGTGTGTTCAGGCATGCCTGCATTTGTGTATAGGCATCTTCTCCAAAGACATTGAGCAGGAATTAAGTTTTAATTAAGTGGATAATTAATATGCACCACTGGAAAGGCCAAAAGGAAATAGGTGTGTTTAATCAGTTCATAACAACTGCATCTGTTGAAACTCCCATCCCTGGTAAGCAACAGAGAATGATTCTTAAACAAATCCACAGCTTCAGAGATGATTAGTTATATGATGTCAGGGGAGACAGCTGAGAAAACAGGCAAACTGTATTGAGTGATGAATATTTTTAGAATAATTTAGTGCATAATCATAAAAATACAGCAATCAACAAGTGAGGGCTCATCCTTGTTACTTGTGGGAAAGAAAGCCTACAAACAATCCTGGTCTCTAACATGTTCTTGGTGAAAATATTTTTTACTTCAACAATGCTCCCTTTTTACCTCACAGGCAAGTATTGCAGTGATGAATAAGTATGTACATTCTGGGGGGAAATTTTCATGGTGTAATATTGAGACTTTGGGCTTTATTTAGCCAGAAAGACATCAGCAAACTCTGTGTTTCAATTAAGATCTGAAAATGAAGGCATAATGTAAGATAATTGCTTCAAAACAGAATGATTGAATTTCCTATACATTTGATATGCATAAAGCATTAGGTTCATTATAAATTATTACATTTCAGTCTATTTCAGTAATGAAACCTAAAACATTAAAGTTTTCATTCCAAAAAGAATTGCTGATGATATTGAATCAAGTCACAGACTGGCAAAGTGGCTGAGTTCTCTGAACATAAGATTTATAAAGTAACAAATTAATAAACAAAACTCATAACTATATACAGTTAAAAACTCAGACCTATGTACAGTATAACTACCAAATAAAACAAAAATGAGGAAAAATTGGCCAGAAACTGCTGAAGCCATGGAAAGATTGCTGTGAGATTCTTTTAAAACAGCTGTAACTGCTTCCTCCTGCTAACAGGATCACCTTTGCTCTCCTTCCATTCCACTTTCAGGACCTTTAACTCCACACAGGCCCCCAGCAGTATCTGCATCCCGGTGAGACTGATCTTCAAGCGCTCAGCCACAGTCGCTGAGGACAGCAGTTCCCCCGACTCCCTCAGCAAATCAAAGACAGCCAGCTCACTTGCAGTAAAATATGATCTGGAAAGGCATAGGCAAATGTACAAAAAGGAGAAGATGTGAGTACAGATTTATATGAGAACAATCAACCGATGGAACAGCTTGCCCTTGGAAGTTGTGGGAGCGCCATCACTTGAGACTTTCAAGAAATTGAACTGCCATTTGTCAGAAATGGTGTAGGGTCTCCCACTTGGGTGGGAGGTTGGACTAGATGACCTATAAGGTCCCTTCTAACTCTGATTATCTGTTATCTGTTATGTTTTTGAGGGTTCCAGATCACACAGAGAACCATACTCACACTCCAGAGAATATGTTCTAGGAATCAAGCATGATTATGGCAATCAAACTCGCCTGCTCTACCTGTTGCTGATGAGCAAGAGAAAAAATGGGCTGATAGATCCATTCCTTTGCGCAATCACATGCGCTCAGCTTGGAGTAGTTAACAGCCCAGAGTTGCTTGACAGCATGATGTATGGCATATAAGTTTTATAAATAAACGGAAAGTACAGCAACACAGTGGCAACTTGTAAAACTACTTTCCTCTTGAGTGCTTGGTTGGGTTAGGTGAAACCGCTGGAAGTAGCCACATTTGCATTAAAAACAAACAACCTTTCAATGGTTGAGGACTGCAGGAGCATTATTTATTACTTTTTAATTGATAACCAAAAAAGAAAAGAAACCAACATACAAAGATAATAATGATGGAGTTATATACTTTGCCAAAAATAGAAAGGGAACAAAAGAACATTTCTTTGTGACATTAATACAACAAAAAATTATATCATATATTTCATTATAACTATAAACAGTTACAATTATATATATATAATTATCAAATGCAAATATTAAACTATGCATAGATTTTAATATATTTACATGACTAATCTACTGTATTTTGTAGAAGTATAGTCTACATCTACAGGCAATTTCTCATAAGTGGAAACTACCATCAGGTCTTCAGTCCACTGAATAAATGGGCCGTACAATAATCTTTCCAGTACTGTAGTATTAAGCGTTTGATCATAATAAGGGTACAGAGAACCCATTTACCTAGTACTGACAAATTCCATGTATTGGGTATATGATTCAAGACAATATTATCCTCTGAAAATTATCAAATATTTCTTCAACACATGACAAGGTTTTGGTACCAAAATATCTATAAATTTATCTTTATCTTTTATACTACTCAAGGAGGAACCTATCATATTCTGGTGTTTTATCACTTGCCATTTTAAAAATTATTTTTTTAATTACCTCAGTGAAGTGAATAACACGTTATCTAAATATGGTAAATTTTATTTTATTTTTAAAAGTCTGTATATGGTCCTTTAGTACATTGTCTGGTTTATTACATGTAGTCCTCTCTTGCAAGCCCAGCTGTTGCCTTTTCCTTCTCCAAGAACCTAAACAGCATTAATGTAGCAAAAAAATCAAATAAAATTATTAATCAGGAAGAAGTCAGTGTGAACACTTAATTATTGTGTTCTTCAGAGTCTTTTGATATCCTACTTAAAAATAAATAAAGACATGAGTTGACTTTGACTTCTTCAGGCTCCATGGACACCCATGATCTCCTCCTGGACACAGTATTGTGCTATTACTTACCAAAAATAATAATTTACAAGCATTTGGACAACATTTTGTTTTCTCCTATGATTTCCTAATCTGTTTCCGCTTCGTCCCTACTAGAAAGAAAAATAAGTTAAGGAGGA